CCCGAATATTACACGCAGGCGATCGGTCACAGGCAGGTACCACACCGACAGTGCTGGACTTTTCCTGTGCGTGTAACCCTCTTCTTCATCGTCCTGCTAAGCCGAGATCTGTTTGGCCGCACTGCTCTTCTTTGCCCCTTCTTATTCTTCTTCCGACCACCCCGCAAGCCTCCCTCGTCTTCTGCATCCACGCGACAACCAGCATTTTTCTTGTACCGACTAAAGCCGCAGTGCGGACAACTCATCAAATTCTCATACTCATTGCCCCGATACAGGACGCAGTGGTTAGTGCATGCATCAAACTTTCTAAGCTTCATCGCCACTGGCCGGATCAGCTTCTTGGCCCGATAGGTATTGGCGGGCACCTTGTTAGCCGTTGGGTACGTGGTGGCAAGGTAGCTTAACAACTCATTGAAGCTAGTGTCAGATCAACCATGACGAGCCTTCAACATCAACATATGGAGGTTAAAATGGAGCGTCGTGCACTCCTTCGGACAATCGCCGCCGTCCTTATAGAGAGGATCAACTGCCGCCTGCTTCAACTCTCTGAAATTTTCCAACCACTTTGGGCAACCCAACACAACGTCGTCTTCATCGAAGTGTTTGACTAGATCTTCAACAAGCTGCACATCCTCAGGTTGGCTCACAGTATCCTGACCATCCCCACCGTCGCCGGCTTTGTCGGCCATGTCTTGCATTAGATCATCCACCATGATGTAATCACGACAACTGTTGTCACTGTCGGCTGGCGCAGCTGCTGCTGAAGATGATGAGGAGCCGGGTGCTCCTAAAGGATCTTTATTCACCGGTGGTGCTGTCGTCGTCGGCGTCGAAGAGCTCACTCCAGATGCACCGCCACTCGCACCAACTCTTTCGCCGTGAAATGTCCAGACTGTGTAGCCCTCGACGAAACCATACATGATCAAATGAGTTTGTACATCGCTGTCTCGGTGGGCTTTCAGGTTCTTGCAACGAGAACATGGACATATGGTTGTGATCCGCTTCAGTCTCTCACGGTGAGCTTTACCAACAGTAATAAACTTCCTTAATTCAAAGAGGTACCGCGGATCATTCACTCTATCGATCCGGTACATCCATTCCGACCTATCCATCATACCTGCGAACATTATCCGTCACAATCAACATTAAATAAAGAAGAATTAGGAAAAATTGATGATTTTTATGTCCAAAATCATGAAAAAGAGAGGAAATGACGATGTGAAAGATAAAGCATGCATCTATGATGAATCTAAAGTTAAAGAAATACATGACATCATTTTTTCCATTAAAATTGATCTAGATCTAGATCTAGAGAGAACTCTAGGTGATAGAAATAGAGAGAGAGGGAGAGCCTTTATGAACCTCTTATGATGTCCTCCTCCCTCAAATCCAAGCCCTTCAACTCAAATCAAAAGTTTTCTCAAATTTTAGGGCAAAGCCTCCCCCCATGAGTTTGAGAGAGGAAGACCCGTAGAGAAGACGAAGGGGTGGTGCTGTGTATTTGTACAGGCTTTACCGCGGCGGGCAAGATAAAGCGCCCGCCTCGGTAAATCAACTCTTTACCGCGGCGAACAGTTTAAATAGCCCGCCACGGTAAATCGTAATAACCGCGGCGGGCGATTCATAGCGCCCGCCGCGGTAAATAACGATTTCCTGCGGCGGGCAAGTAAGGTGGCCCGCCGCGGTAAACCCTTTTCCCGCAGCGGGCGCCTCGGTGACCGGCCTCGCTGGCCGGCCACCGGTTAACCGTGGCGGGCAAAAGAGGTGCCCGCCACGGAGCCCATTTTGGCCACGCTGTGCAAATTGATTCCTGTAGTAGTGGTACTCATGGGCGGCGCCAGGGGTATTCCCCTGTATGCCATGGAATACCCAAGATTTTGATGAAAAAAAACAAATATACATATTTGCATTGTGGACATGCTACTATGCTACTTTAAGCAAATTTATTTGGACATGCTACTATGCTACTTTGTTTAGTACTGTGACGAAATTATAGAAATGATCTTTTGTTTTTTTTACATTTTGTGTTTGTAAATTATAATGTAAGAGTAGATGAAGAAGGTGCTAGCACTAGCATATTTGCATTGTTGGAGAAAGCTAGCACTTGTATATTTGCATTGTAATTTTTTTTACATGGAATACCCTTTCGCGATGTCCTGGCTGCGCCACTGCTAGTACTCCGTACGTGGTTTTATTGATCTCCACCAGCAGCGGAAGCCATGGACCGACGACTGACCTCCATTGCTACTTGCTCTACTGCAGGCCTGACTGAGCCCACCATTACTACTGCGTACGTGTCCATCCCCATCCACCTCGAAGCACGCACGGCCTTGTGCCTCAGGCGGCCTCAGCACAAGGCAATTAATGGAGCAGACCAACAAGGCCCGGGGAAGACGTGTGCGCTCCACTCCGCGTCTACCAAGTCAACTGGGGTGTCAAATCAAATACTCCCTCCATCCCTTAACAGAAGTCGTTATAGAATATGTGCATGCTAAACTTTCTCAACTTTAACTAGATTTATAGAAAATATATAAAAATATATTCAATGATCTATATAATAATACTAATTATATATTATAAATATTAATATTCTTTTATATATAATTAGTTAAAGTTAAAAAAATTGATTTCCTGGAATACTAGAACATCTTCTATTTTGGGACAGAGTGAGTAGCATTATATTGCTACCAACGCACTCTGGCTTTGGCGTCGGCCTATCTTCACAAACATTCTCCTAACATCTTTGACTACAAACTACTAGAAAGGTGTATGTGGAGAGCTTTCTCACATAGAGCAACTATGGATACTACGAGTAGTTAAATCGATCTGTTACGTTGAATACTGAATCGACCGGTGGGGGTGGTAGGTTTTATAGCAAACAGCAATGGTGTTAGGTGGAATCGACAATGGAAAATAAATGATAGTTAGGTAGATCCAATGTCCAGAAAGAATTATAGCGGGTGAGAACAAAAGCTGACAGTGATATTCTAGCTATGACTGCCAGCTCATAGCTTCAATCATTAGTGTTATATCACTATGGGGTGGTGGTTTTACCCAGAGTGCTAGGTACGATCACTGCCGGGTGTTGGGGATGCCATGAGGCTTGGGCCCCCCTTTCTCTACACGAACCAGCTTTCGACTAGTGTTTCACCCGCAAGGGTCAGATGGTCCAATGACAAAACCAACGGCAAAAGAAATCGTTGCTTTTCACCGGCTTGCACAGAAGAGCAGAAAAGCTTTCGACCAACGTTTCACCCACTAGGGTCAATTGGTCCATTGATGAAACCAACGGCAAAACAAATCGTTGGTTTTCACCCGGCTTGCGCAGAAGAGCATAAAAGCTTTCGACCAACCTTTCACCCGCAGGGACCACGTGGTCCAACGACGATACCGATGGTGAAAGACATCGATAGCTTTTGTCACACCAGCGAGTAATCCAGAGTGAAATGCAACACTAGGGAAAGCCTTTCGGCTTGCCATAAGCTAACCAATATGATGTGACGTGTCATCTTGTAGGTCTTTCGTCGTTATCGGCCCTCGCCCTTTTCGGCAGGGTCCTCCGTGCATCGGCCATGGGGCCCGGGCGAGGGGGACCCAACAGAGGAAGGCGTCAACCAAGGGAGGCCGTAAGGGAATGGACTAAAAGCGCCAACAGGAAGAGGAATATGCTCAGGGATCTGAGTAGTTAGGAGGGCATTTTAGTCTCTGTAAAAGATACAAATGTGTATAAATAAGGCTCCATGTGAGCAGTGTATGGGGGATGGAACCCTAGGTCCTTGATTAATACACACATATCTTTCACCCTCCATGGTTCCTTCCCGTTCCTTTCGTTCAGTCTTATTGTGCTTTCGGTTGTTTGAGCAGCAGCCTAGTGTTCAAAGGCTAAGGCCTAGAACAACACCGGGTTATTAGCTTCCCGCTAATTTTCTAGATCCTAGTCTTACAACCCGGCCGTGATTAGTAGTCATTATCGTCTCAAGCACACTCGACAATGATGGTCCGGTAGTGATTGCATATTCTAGCGTAGTGCATGTTGTACCAGCCATGGCTGAGGTTTCACCTGATTTGGAGGTCATTTTGATTGTAGTTTTACTTATGGTCCCAAATCTTTCAAGTTGTTTCTCTGTGCTGATTTTGAAAGTTTTTAAAAGAAGTCCTGATGTTTTGATTTCTCCAAGATAGAGAAACTTAGTCCTAAATGCTTTCAAGGGTTCAGGCCAGAAGTTCCCAGTTTTACATAGGAAAAATGGCTGAACTTGACTTAGAAGTCGGGCATGATATGATCTTTGGTGCTTTTGATTGTTCTCTCGCGTTTTGCTTTCATGCGTGTTTTTTTTCATTTAGTTTCATACCTCGGTTAATTAAGACTACTTGTAACTATGTGATCTTGGTGATTGCTAAAATAGAGGCCCCTGGGTCAACTTGGGACATAAGCCTTAATTCTTCTCCATGAAGAATTTTTGGTTCCATATTCATCGCTCTAACTATTCTAGAACTTTGTTAGTTAATTGTGTGTCACAAATATGGCATACAGTTTGATGCATGGTGAAAGGATGCAATGCATGCTTTCGTTATTTAGTATACGTGCTTGACAACAAGTCCAAACCCACAAGTATGACGCAATTATGATAGGTAGTGGACATCGAGTCCTTCCCTTTTTTTGGAAAAGGGAAGCTTTATTAATTTCAAGAATATTACATCAAGGTGATACAACATCTTGAAATCCTCCTGACCTCTACCAAGGCACACAGCTCAAAGAAAGATGATAGAAAAACGACGCTAGGGCTCCCTAATGGCGATCAATCCATAGACTAGACTGTCACCCATGTGCCCGGGTAAAAAACTCCTTGGGGACCTGTACCAAGAATTGAGAAGCCGCTACAAATATCTCCTGGGAAGTAGTCTTGTGTAGTATGGACCATGTACGGAGCCAGTGTGCAGTTGAGTAAATGACCTGCAAGGACCTATTGCGTACATAAAGGACTATGCAGACTAATGCATTAATCTTGTGCAACTACAGGGACAAGGAGGAGTTTCTCCGTACGATGCACGGTCACCCCAAATGATTCAGTCATATCGATGCCTTTCTTCGCTAATTCCACAGGTAGCTCCCAATTGAAGTGGTAGACAAGGTTTGCGAGCATGACTTCGATTGTTGAACTTGCAAAGTTTATACCTGGGCATATCCTTCGTCCTGCCCCAAATGGCAAGTATTGGAAATCGTTTCCCTTATTGTCCATAGCTGCGGCGCTACCACCTTCCATGAACCGCTCGGACATGAACTCCTCCGCTTTCTCCCAATAGTTAGGATCCCTTGCAAGAGCCCAACTATTAACAATGGCACGCGTTCCTGATGGTATCGTGTATCTTTCTATGTTGCAATCAGCCATGGAGAGGTGGGGCACAAGGAGTTCCTGATGGTTCCTGATGGTATCGAAGTGTCTCTTTGATGACTACCTTCAGGTAGGCTAAACTGTTAAGCTCGTCTTCGGTAACTATATCTTTTCCCTTGGCTAGAGTGCTCCTCACCTCGGTTTGTAGCTTGTTCATGAGGCAGGGGTTTTGCATGAGCTGAGCCATCGCATATTCTAGCACTGTGAATTATGTATCTGTGCCAGCTTCAAACATGACCTACATATATATGGACACATATATATATAAGAATCAACAACATATGCATAATTATATACAATATATATAGTATTTGTGAGTGAGGTCATATCCATATATACCACCAGCTGCGCCTTAATAAGATCTCTCGTGAGATTGTACTCTTGTTGAAGGGAGAGCAAGACATCGATGAAGTCACTCTCCTCCCCGTCACGCTCTGACGCTGGCCTGTTTGCATGGTCATCGATGAGCGTATTGAGCAAGTCGTCCCACATCTTGTTCACCTTTTGTGCCTTTGCACACACCATCCTCTTGATGATGTCCAGTTTCACCAGCACTGGGAAGTAGTCCTCTATGTTGAATCCCCCGATGAGAGACGAGTTGGCCTCGACGAGCTCCTGGAAAAGTTTATTCCGGCCTTCCTGTCTGAAGAACTTTCCAGACACAGCGTGACACACGATGTCGTTGGCGAAGGAGTTGAGCAGTTCACTCAGGTCGACAGCGGTGCCTGCGGTGGCTGCCTCGCGGATCTTACCCACCACCAACCTCACCTGTTGTGAATTATTTTCAGGCAATCATATCTTCGTCTATTGAACAATATATCTTAGTGATTGCTCAAATTGACGCTTGGTTATTACCTCATGCTCGCGTGCATGGCGGTAGGACCGGACCTTCTTGACCTGGCGCCAGTGCTCACAATACGGGGAGAAGGCGACGTCCGTGGAGCCGTAGAAGAGGATGTCGGTGACGGGGGAGTAGGCCCTGGACGCGAAGATGTGGTCTTGTGTGCGGAGCACGGCCTGCTCGGCGCTCGGCGAGGAGACGATGAGCGTTGGTACAGCGCCGAGGTGGAGGAGCATGAGGCCATCGCGGCCATGCTTGGTGGCGAGGTCACGGAGAGAGATGTGTTGGAGGGTGCCGATGAGGTGCAGGTGGCCGATGATGGGGAGCCTTCTGGGAGGCGAAGGCAGCTTGCTCAGCAGCTGTTCTCTGGCTCTTGCGGTGGCGTTCGATAGCGTTGTTCCAAAGTGCCGGCGCACCAGAAGGAGGACGAGGAGAGGACAGACGACGAGCAAGACAGAGACCACTAGGGCCGCCTATGGAGGAGACTTGACCTGCAGTAGAGGCTCATGGTGGCCATGAACGTGAGCCATCACAGCAGCGCAGCGCTTCCTACCCCTGGCTGGATAGCTTGCCACTTATTAAAAGGTTGTTCAGTTTACCGAATGATCATAGCTGGGTTTCTTCGCCCAGGTGGCTTTATAGAGCCGAAACCTGGTGATTGCACCAAGAACGAGGCATCTTTTTAGTCCATAGTTTATATTCAGAAAAAGCTGCAGACAGACGTAGAGAGCCACGACCACGAAATGCTATTGTACAAATATAAACAGCACGGTGGCTTCCTGCAGATACCATGGTTACCTTGCTTTTTTAGTTATACACAATACTAAGGTTTTTACTTGTTTATTTGTTCTATTGTCATTATTCTCTCTTCATGCATTTCCCTGTTGTATCTACTGGCAAGAATTCTATATAGCCATCATCGATCAATTCCTTGGTTTTAGGCTATTGCCGTTGACTGGAGTTTAACACAGGTACTCCCTTTGTCCCAAAATAAACGACGTTTTGGGTTTTCGTGCCACAAGTTTGACTCGATTTGTAGAAAATACGTGCAATATTTACATCTTCAAATAAATTTGTTAAAAAACTAGACAAAAAGATCTTTTCGATGATACTAATTACTTAGCATAAATATTTATATATTTTAATATATAATTGCCGGCAGTCGTTTCTCGGGAAGCGAGAACGTCTTTTATTTTGGGACGGAGGGAGTATATGCTAAGTCCCCGAGTAAAGGACGTAACAGTCCGACCAACCCCTCAGCCGAATCTACGAATCCGCCAGGGGTTAGGGGCTATGCCCATTGGGGAGGGGTTGCAGCATTGTCGGGCTTCTCCTAAATGACAAGGACCTGGACGGCGCCAAGGCGAAGGAACCAGAAGCGCCAAACTCTAGAGAAAACCCTCGAATTGTACCGCATGCCCTCCTAGCTCGTATACAAGGGGAGGCTAGGCTCCTGTCGAAGGGAGATAAAAAAAACATAAACAAACGATCAACCAACCCAAAAAACCATAGGATAGCACCGCGCGATCCCTTGGCAAACTCTCTCCATCTCACCCTTGTAAGAACCCTTGATCGGGTCAGTCCTAATACAAAGAATACTATACTGCTGGACGTACCCTACTACAGACATGATTTTTGCAGTTGGCCAAAAAAGGTTTCCTGGGGCGGGCATATAGTCCGCCTGCATTTTATGCCTGTGTAAATCTGTATTTTTTGAGGCGGTCAAATGCCCACCGCCAGAAATAAATTAGAAAAACCCAGGCCCACCGACAAAGCCGGCTTCTAGGGTCCATCGGCCAAGCCCGCTCGATCCACGTGCGCCGCTGCCACTGGACCTATGAGCCAAATGCGTCGCCGTTGCCGCTGTCACATAGATCCGCCATCGCCGTGCCTGCTCCTCACAGGTCCGCCCTCGCCATGCCACCTGCTCGTAGATCTGCCTGAACGCCGCCGCCTGGGAACCACAGGACGCGAGGACCACCACGCCGCCGGGCTCGCCTGGCCGGCCTCGCTGACGCCTGGGGAGCGCGGCCCCGCCGCATTCGGGCGCACACAGGCCACCGCCACCAAGAGGCAGAGGGCCACCAGGAGAGAGCCACCGCCACCACCGGACACGGAGAGAGCAGAGGGAGAGTGTTCGACGAGATTTTGTACAAAATTTCACTAGTATGCATGTACATCTATATACGTGCTACTGAAAATAATAGTAAAAGGAAAAAACCATGAATCAAGTTGCATTGGGCCGTGATGAGCTAATGCATAGTGCGCATGTTTATTTACGTGTGCTGGAAAAGAAAGAAGCTAACACGTTACTATGCCGTGCATGCATGCATACGTGTTGACATGCAATAGAAGAAGTTAGCAAGTATGTATACGTCCATGTGTGGTATACACTTCTCAAATACGGCGGAGCTCAAACGCCTTCAATTAGCAAGCGATCAGAGCCCACCAGGCAGCCATACAGCATATGGCGTCTGTGTACTGGGGCAGCATATGGCGTCTGTGTACTGGGGGGTCGAATTCAGATCCTGTGCGTATTATATGGCGTATATATAGGTGAAGCCGTGTACGGAGTACGATCTTGTACCTCAACCACAGTCCGGCCCGGTGAATTTTTGGGCCGGCGGATGGGAAGTCCAAACCAGAATCCTTCTAGAAGCGTTATCACGAGGGATAATTGCGGCACGTGGATGCTTCACCCGGCGTATGAAGGAGCGGCTCCGGGTTTGTCGCGCTCGCCAACAGGTTTTAGGCGGCGCGTGCGTGAGGCCAGGAGTTCCGCTGCTACCCTAGCTGCTGCCTATATAAAGGACCCTCAGGTCATCACGGAGAAGATTAATCACGCCCGGCCGATCGGAGGCAGCCGCCACCAGGGCGCTATCCATTCAGAGGTTCGGAGCGGATCGACGAAGGAAGGCAGCCGCCGGCGCCAGGAGCATGACCGCCGCAACGATGCTAGCGGCCAAGATCATCACCAGAGGCAGCCGGTCTACCAGCGCCATCCAGATGACATGATGGGATCGGACCCGGGTATGAGCCGCCGGCCCGAGATCGAAGGCAGGCAGAAGGCAGCCGTCTCGCCGTTTTCCGTCGCAGCAAGGCTCGGCCGGCTAATCACAGGCGCCGAAGACGAGCTCCTAGCCCAGCAAGCACTAGTAGACGGGCTCGCCGGCCTGGACCGATGCCATCAACGCGAGATGAGCGCGGCCTTGCGGAAGATGGAAACCTCTATCCAGAGCGCATCTACGATCGGCAGCGGCGTTCACTCTACGCCCACGTTCATCTACGTCAGCTAACCGCGTCGCCGGAGGAGATCAACGCTGTCTAGACGACCCTGCTCAGGCCAGAGAGGCCGGTCGCTGTGCATCGGCTTCGTTACGTCCAGGCGAACAGGCGCGAGACTTTCATCCAGTTATGCGCTCAATCGTGAGGATCGGGAGCGCTGCCGTATTGCACCCCATGTCGGTCTGTGTCCACTGCACGCGTGGCGACATCTGCTCTAGTGCCTGCTCATCGACGCCGTGAGCGGCCCGCAGCCGCACTCTCCTGCTGCACTGTCGCTGAAGGATCGTCGGCCGGCAGCAGCGTGTAGCCGCACTCTCCTGCTGCACTGTCGCTGAAGGCTCGTCGGCCGGTAGCAGCGTTTGAACACATATACGAGTAGAGGTGCGATTGTATATAGGTGCATGCATGCGGGACAACAAGGGCGTCGGCGAGCCAAGCCGATTTCCAGCCGTGGTACGTAGGCTCCTTCATCGCTGGGCCAAAAAGTCCACACGCTGTCGACAACGGCTCCAACGCTGCCGCCGCAGCCGCACTGAGGAGGCGAACCCGGACGCCGTCGATGAAGGCTCCACAACTGGACCAACGCCGCCTAGGCACCACGGAGGCGAGCCCGGACGCCACCATCGACGACGGCTCCGCTCTTACACCATAACGACGCTGCCGCACCCGAGAGGTGAGGTCGGACGGCTCAGCGCGCACAACAAGCAGCGGTTGCCATCTACCTGTCACCGTGACGCGGGGCTACTCCGCGCCGCGCCCGTCGAGATCAACGGCGAGGTGCTACGCCCACGTGTGCGTGCTTACATGCAAACTAACAAAGCAGGAGGGTACCAACTACCATCTCGGCCAAGCTGCATATATACATGTATATACGTGTACGTGCATGCGCTTGAATTACCTCTATTAAGGAATGTGTGCCTTGCATAAGAAAACTACAAGCAAAGCAAACCATAGGGAGGTCGGCTGTCGTATAATTTGTATAATTTTATTATCTTTTGTGTATCAGGCCGGTTCGGCGAAGCTGGTAGTCTAGCTGCGCTACACCCACTCATAGGCTGGCGAGGCCTTCTTCTTCAACAACCCCACTGTGATCAAGTTCTACAGCGTACCACGACGATGCTACCGAAGAAGTCATCCAAGCTACACCAACCATGCAAGTGCGACTACGATGACACCACGTGTTGTTCGACACCGACGAGGCGAACAACACAGGTGGGCATGGCTGATATTCCAGCCATGTTGTACCGGCTCATGGACCGACGAGGCCCTTACGCCAACGCCACCTACATCTACACCAACACCATGCATGGAGACATGAAGCGAGGATTCAAGACGAGGACCACAACAGCAGAATCGGAGGTACTCCGTGAGCTAGCTCATGGGGGTAATTAACTAGGAGCCTTCCGAGGCCCCAGGACCCATGAAGACCACTATCGCCCATGTCAGATCGCCGCCAGTCGGCTATGTAGCGCGCATTAGGAATTTGTATTTGTTGAACTATTGATGGTTAATAAAATACATGTTCATGTCTTTTTATTTTGTGTACTTAGTATACGGGCACGCCCGCACTTTTTCCACACGAGAAGCCGCTTGAGGTGGATTTTCTGGTGTCCAAACAGATAGAAGAGAGAGAGCCACATGGAAAGAAGAGAGAGGCACAGTTGAAAGAGAGAGAGAGGACGAGGAGCCTCCAAACCCTAACTCTGCTATATATATATATATACCTAACATAGGCAACGGAGAATCTAGGCCTCTTTGGGCCTTGGGCCATTTTTAGTGGCCTCTTAAGAGGCCCACCTCAGTAAATGGATTTTGGGAGATGGACTATTTTTGTCTGCCTCGGTAAATCCATGTTGCGAGACGATTATTTTGTGACTGCCTCCCTAAATAAATTAACCGTCTTAAAAATCCTCAGGTATTTTAGGAGACAGTTAAATTTTGTGACCGCCTC